TTTTCTCTCTCTTTTTTTCCTTGGCTTTTTTTTTAATCGCTTCAATGACACGCATTCATTGTGTTTTTCTCGGTTTTTCCTATTTCATTTTTTCCATTTTTTTTCTTAATAAACCTCGTGTAAGCCCGCATGACAAATAAAACACAGTAGCTCGAAAAGAGCAGCGCAGCACTTTCAGCTAATTTACGCAGCTCGCGACACAATCGAAAGAAGCAAAGATATTTTCGAGAGAAAAAAGAAGAATATCTACGCTTATACAGCGAGTACGCGCGCGCGCGAGGAGATAGGCAATCAAACAAACAAAGAACAATGGAGATAAGTTTGCAAAAGTAATAACGAGTCGGCGCATACATATACCGCCGCGATACTACTAGGCGCTACTTTAATCATTCACCGTATACATACTTTACTTTGCTCGTATATATGTGTGTGGATACGTGTGGATGCAGCTCGAGTGTGTATACATGTGTGCGCAGAGGCGTCTTTCTCTTTTCCTTAATTCCCGCGCGCGTACGTATGGGAGCGCGCGGAATTAATTTCAAGAGAATAGAAATCTGCATTTTGCGAGGAAAAAGGCCTCGTAATTATATGGTCAACGGACACTCGGCGCTTCGTTCGCTCCCTCGGCTTCGCATGCGCTCGAGCTCCAAGGAGATGGGCAATTTTCGTCCGGCGTCTCTTCGATTTGCCCTGGCTTCCGAGAATATAAGGCGCGCGTGGGTGGGTGGCGCTGCTGCCGCTGCTGGCCGTACGAAAGTACTCGACAGAGATCGAGTCTCTACCGGCTCGGTCAAGCTCTATTATTTTTCGGACTTTTTTTAATCGCGCTCGTTTCACTTTCGTTGATGAAAGCCGCCACGGTGACCGTAAGCTGTGCAGTACGTACTGCAGCTGCTTCGGATACGCGCCGCGCGAGATCCAGATGACGCGCGCCTTTTTCAAATCGATCTTTCTGCGATAACATTAGCGCGATCTGCGTACGTTACTTTATTTCGCGCTGCATAATTTGCCGTAAGCAAAAACCAGATAGTCGAAGTAATCAATTATATATTTTACGAACGTGTAACATTACACTCGATGTATACAAGCTACCATTTTCACGAGTACATTGTGGGTTCTAAGCGTGCGATAGACCGACCATACCGACGACAGGGCGACAAGTGAGCGTGTATATGATTTTTTACTCAAAGCCCGTGATTTATTAAGCAAATTAAGAAGTTATAGATATACCCACACACATAAACACACCTCATGGGCGCAAAGTGAGAGCTTATCCCGCGCCAAGTCGAAGGCGAAAGCATGTGAAATTTCGCTTATGATATCCTTACCAAAGCGAATACCCCGACGTCACTTTTATGTATACAAAGACTTTTTTGCAATTTTTTCTTTTTTTCTCCATATAAATAAATCATATTATATTTACATTATTATTGTTTTGAATTTCATAGGTGCGCGGGCGAGCCGCTGCGGTAACAGTGCAATATACATTTAAATATATGTAAAATGTAGAACGTTTTTCAATCGCGAATCTAGAAAGTCCTGCTGTGTACGATACATTGTCCGCAGTGCTCTTATTGTTTTACGAGCTCGGAATATTTTATGTGCCTTTGCGTGGCGAGTGATACGAGAGCGCCTGCAGTGTATGCGAATAAACGCCGACTGATACGGGAAATCTGATCGGCCATCAATTGTGCCCGCAGAGTGTAAATATCGGAACTGCCGGCCTCGAAATATTAGGTGTCTATGGCGATTGCGATTATATCGGCGCAGAGAGGAAAATTGCCGGTACCATCCTCGTGTACACGTTGCTGTATCGGCGATCGTAAGTAAGTCGACTCGAAGATATTGCACAAAAACAAGAAAACACGTCGACGATTGGGCAATTCGTCCGCGAGGCTGGCGATACGTGTCACACGCTATCTGTGACGCCTCTTAAGGCTCATTTTTTTTTCTTTTTCGCTTTTGCAAAGTGTCGAACCACACCTCGTGTAGGTGATGCGCGCCCGCGTGCATTATCTAAGTACAATATGCCATAAGTGATAAAGTAAACTGCCGCTGCAACATCGAGTGTTAATCGTATATCTCTGAAAGAAGTAACCTTGAATAATCCGGCCGCGCGCGAGAATATATACGGTAAAGCAATTATGCGCGTACGTATATATATACATCAGGCGGCATTTCTTCGCGGTCTAATTTACAAATTATTGTACACCGTTTTTTTTCATGACGAACACTTTCCATTGTGTAATGGACTTTTTTTCGCCGCGCACACGCACTTATTGCGCTCGCTCTTCCGTGCGGTTCTTTCCTTTTGTATCGTAAATTTACCGTGCCGTGTGTACGTACGTACGAACATAAGCACGAGCATCGGAGAGGCAACCAAAAAAGAAAAAAAAGTGACGAAGAGAGATGAATGCAATATTTTCCACGCGCGCTCAGATATACACGAATCATTAGTTTAAACAGCTGTTGCAATAATATTATTGTATGTACACGATACGATGATCCGAGCAGGCGTACTCGCGGATTACGATACGCACCAGCGCACGTCGATCTCGTATATTATATGCAATTAAACGCAGCGGCTCGTGATTATTACGCGCGGGGGCACCCACGCGCTGCACAACATGATGTATGTAGTGTATCCTGATGATGATGATGTATTTCGACGATGCGAAAATGCGAGTATTGCTGCTGCGGCTGCTGCTGCTGCTGCTGCTTCAGCTCTTTCGATTTCTTCTTCTCTCGATCGAGAAAGACTTTCTCAGACACGCTCGCTCGCTCCCGCAACGCGCTCTATATATATATATACAACAACAACAACAACAATAACACTAACTACCAGTGCTGTTGCAGCCGATGCAGCTGCTGCTTATACTGCACGCGTGGCAGCTACACATATAAAATGCGCGTGTTAGCCTCCGTGCTTTTCGCTCATCGCCTCTTCATTACATGGTATTATTTAGAGATGTTTTAGACGCCACCGAGGCCTCTGTCCGCATCATCGTGTTCCATCGCGTTGATGATCGGTATGTATAAGCACGTGGAAAAGCTTATGCTGCGGTACACCGACAAATTGGACAATTGAAAATTGCCCATGGCAGCTAGGGAGCTTTGATCTCGCGCGGAGGATGCCGCACTCGTGCGCCCGAGGCTCTATATACACGCGCATGGCATAAATGTGCAGTTGGAGCGGAGTGCCTTGCCGAGCGCCGATCGCCACCGCGTGCCATTGAAAATGAAAGTTTTCGCCGCGATTGTAGCCGCCAGTCGTACGCTGCAACTAGCTCTCTGCTCAGCTGGTCTGACTCGTATTACACACACACACACATACACACATGCATAAAATGCGTAAAGCCTTTGCTTGCGCGCGACTTTCGATTGTTAATTTTCATTCGCGCACTCGGCAATCGATTATTTCGAATACTTATGGACAAAACTCAGTCACGATGTATTCCGAATAGAAAACAAATAAACGAATGAATCGAGGGATTGAGCTTACGAGCGTAAAGGGGGAATCACGAGCAACGATGACAATCCCAAAGGAGAAGTAGTTTCGACGTATTGCGACAAGGCAAATCGCAATTGTTATCGTGACCAGCCCATCTTGTCGAAAGTAAAGAATTACGAAAAGAGGAAGATTAGGTAACGACTAAAGTTCGCGTCTTGGGTGACACACGCATACATACATACGTATTACGTTCGCGTAAGGCTTGTTTCCAAGCGTCGTGCGCCGTCCGTCCGTCCGCGTACGTGAAAAAAGTCCGATATTTCATTTTAGAAGAAAGCAAGATTAGTCGCGATATTATATGTACAACTAATGTGACAACTTTCACTATGCGTGTCTGTATGCGATGTCCGTACGAGCGTAACGAGCCTCGCGAACTCGAGAGGTCTTTGTACGCGCGAGCTTTGTACAAGTGCGAAACTCTGCCTGTGTATACATATTATGTACACGAGTGCGAGGCACACTTCTCGCTCTGCACCTATTGTACAAATGTTATCCAGTAGATCCGAGTCAAAGTTTATTAATTACATCAAAAGTTCTCTTGTTGAGTAAATTTACAATCCAAGTCAGTTTTTTACCGGTCTTGGTTTGTATTTTTATGCAGTCGATAGGAGGTAAATCGACAGTTTTACAACGATTTTACGACACTCTGCTAACGAGAGAGCAATAGAAAATGTTATGATATATATTTCAAGCCGCTCGCAGTCGACGCCGAAACTTTGTGCAACTCCTTTGAACTCGCAAGATTTTCGCCCAGAATTACGAAGTTTGTACCATATAAATGGATGTATATAAATGGAAAAGAAAACGATTGCTTTATATCCTCGATATCTCGCTCGCAGACAACCCAAACAATAGGTAAGTAGACCACTCGTACACCCGCTCGTCGAAGCGATAATGTAAAAATGTCAAGTGGATTTTCCTATCAATTTTTAAGATTTCGAGAAGAGACTCGCGGAAGCAACGAAAAAAAAAAGCCGATCGTAAAAAAAATGTACGATTGTATCTCGGCTTTCGGTTGCGGGCAAAAGACTGCGACACGCACACTCAGACACACACAGAGAGCTGAGGCCACTAGGTCTTTCGCTCCGCGCTGCGGTCTCTCGGAAAAGAAAAAGTGGGTTTGTCTGTGCACTCTTTGTCGGAATCAGATATATGCACAATGCGTCGTCTGTACGATATATCTCTTGTCACTCTCGGGCTCGCTGACAATTAGTCACAATTGCGGCTCGCGCAGCCGTACCTTTCAGCAGGCAAAAGATAAAGCAGATAGGAGCCAAAGAACGTGTATGATACAGAAATGTCCATTCGCTTTCGGATACCGATTATACATTAAGTGTATTTGGATGTAAGGTAAAGTTTGCCCGCGAAATTTTTTATCCCAATTGTTCTATGGTTATGATATAATCTATCCTTGAATCAGCGATACCCATCGATTTCCGAAATTCTCAACTAATATGATACACAAATCGATGGCACTATCATTACTCACCTACGTGTCTACATTCGAGGAAGCGAGGAATCTATCACGCAATTGCAACAGCTGCCGCTGCCGATACTGCAACCTTCGATTTCTTGCCTGTAGCTCTTGATGCTGCTGCCGCACTGCTGCTCCTGATCTTTATGACACTCGCTAAACGATCGGAAGCTTTTTCCAGCACCATAACCGTACGATCGATTTTTGTGTACAGCAAGATTCGATCGATTTGTTTTCGACCGGTATCTTTTTAATGACAAGAATAAAAAAATTAAAAAAAAAGCATAAATAAAAGACACTGATGCAAACTCAAGCTCGGCAAAATTCAATGGCAAATTATTACTTTAATTATCACAAGCTATAATGCACTGGAATTGAACAAACGATACCGATGATATACCGATCTATCGCATATAAATCACCAAAAGTTTCTTCTGCTTCTTCTGCACTGCACTGTCACCGATTTCCGATGTCGAATCGGCCTCTCTTGACGCGCACACGCGAACGACTTGACTTTTTTTTTACCGATCTTCTCTGCCCGCGCAAAGACTCACTTTGCGATCGAGACCAAATTTATTAAGTAAAAAAATGTTAATTATCAAACAACAATGGCATATAAGCGACGCCGTATAGCCTCGGGCTCCGAACGGGACGCCTCGTCTTTATAAATTCTCTTTCTCTGTCGCTCGCTCGCCCGCTCGATGCCGTGTGTTTGTCTGTCTCTTGTGTTCCTGCCGAGCGAGCAGCTTCGCTGGCTCTGCGCAAAGTTATATACTTATTTCTGCGGGCTGCTCTCACTGTCGGTTGCCGACAACGACGACGATGGCAGCGGCGGCGGCGATCGACGCTCTCACTTTCTCCCGCGTGTGCGCCGGGCCGGGGGCCTTATTGCTATGTAGCAGTACGTATATAATACACAACAACGGCGGCGGCAGCAGCAGCAGCAGCAACAACAGCAGAAGAACAACTGCGGCGCGCGAAATGCGTGCCGTGCGTTTATATGAAAGATACGGTTTTGTTCTGCACCCACCACAATGAGCCCCCGCTCGCGCCTTTATAACGTACGTGCGTACATAAACATATACGGTGCATACGAAAATTGTGCGTTCAAAGACCAAAGCGTGACCGCGACTTGGTTCCGAAAAATTGACGTACGTCAAGTATAGCCATACAGTCAAGCATGTATAAACAAGATTAATGACGTGAGTACATGTACGGGCATACAACTTCCGACGAAAGCTCGAATCGATATGTTATGAGCCAGACGTCGATTATTTCGACGACTTGTAAGGGCCTTACCGGTTTTTTAAAATATTAATGATATGAGTGGTACAGTATATCAAAATTAAATCCATTAATTGATGTGTTTCGAGCAGACGTCGTGGCTTTCGGACAACTTGAATATGGCGCGCCAGACGGATGCACCCAAGCGATAAACGAAAGCTCGCGGCAATTACGCATGGATACGGCCACATGAGCGCGGCCTTGGGCGTGTAACTCATCGTCACACAGTAGTTTTTAGTACACATGTATATGCATTTAGCACGGGCCCATCAATTACACGTATACATATAGAGATTCACAGGCGTCAACGTTGTACGCAAGAATATTTGTATGTGTAATATAATACGCGCATCTGCCTCCGAGACATTAGCGCAACTCTTTTTCTTTTTATTTATGTAAGTCGTTATCAGCGCTGTTTGGTCTTTGAATTAGTCAGTCCAAGAGAATTTGCAATTCAAGGAGTGTATATGCCATTCGAAACTGTTTTTTGAAAACGATTATGCGAATGTTTATGTGTGTGTAACTCGCGAGAGGAAATCCGCTTTCAATTTTTCGTCATTCTTCTTTTTTTTTCACTTCTGCGTAAAAACCGATTCTCAAAATTAATTTTACATCCTTGCATGATAACATAATCGTGAAATAAATTTGAACATCATATTTACTCGTTTTGGTCACATCAACAACCTAAAGTAAAATCTTACTCCCTCCAAACAAAATTGAAATATTATTTTAAGCTGGGGGATTCATAATAGTAATTTTCGATACAAGTGCCATAAGTAACACTTTTTGGCACGGCGTAGTTTAGGGCCCGAGCGCAGCGAGGGTCCTAATAGCTGGGCCGAAAAGTGTCCCCTATGGCCCGAGTATCGAACAACATTTTATAGTACTGTGCAAAGTTCACATTTATGCCCCCTTTTCCGAGCCATGAGTCGCACTTTCTGGTAGCGCGAAGTGAGGTTAGCGCACGAGCGTATGCGAGTGTGATGCGAACGCAGCGGTGCCAGAATGTGCGACTTATGCCACCGAAAAGCGTGCCATAAATGTGAACTTATGCCACGCAGTGCTATAAAAAAGTTTTTGGTGCCTATGTAGTTAATAAAAAAAATCTCAGAACTTGTGATTTTTACACTTGCTTTGAGACTTTCTAGTTTTTCACTTCCTAGGGACCAAAACTATAACAGGTATTTTTTTATAAACTTTCGATGAGAAATTCAGTTTGATAAGAAAGTTTTTACATTTAAGGGTGCTCTGTCAAAATTAATCAACCTTAGCAGTAATGCTTTCTGATTTTGTACACTGGTGTTCACCGAATTTCGAGCATGGATTTTTTGACAACTATATTTGGAATTATTGAATAATAAATTATTTTTTTGGGCATCAAGATGAAAATATTTTATTAGATTTATTGCCAGCATAAGTATATCTATGAATCGCCAGTGAAAAAAAATACATCGCATCGAAATTCCGTGAAAAACACCTCAACGAAACGCCGTGAAGAAAAACATACCTAAGTAGCATTTTATGGCATGAGCCACGAATATCATACTGAATTTTATATTACTATGCTAAGTTCACATTTACACTCCCTTTTCTGTTGCTTAACTTTCTGGTAAAGAGTAGTGAGGCTAGCGCAGCGACCGTACGACCGCTTTAAAACGACCCACAGTGCTGTATGCACAAAAAAGGGGGCATAAATGTGAACTTAGCACAGTACTATAAAATTGCATGCGTTGTTCGTGCCATAGGGGACACTTTTTGTTCCAGCTAATACTCTCGCCGGGCTCGGGCCCTAAACTACACCATGCCAATAAATGTTACTTATCTAACTTATATCATTAATTACTATATTGCAAAGTGCTATAAAATTATGAGTATGATATTCGTGTGCTATGGGACACTTTCTTTGAGATATATTTATATATAAAAAGTACTATTTTTATAATGTATCTTAAAAAACTGTTTAAAGTGAAAAAAATTCAATCCGGCTCATGGAAAACAATTCTGGTGTGAAATCAGTAACGAATTTTGTATCTAGAAACAGTGGAGGTTCTCCTCGTCCCAAGGAGAATATTTAATTTTCATAACCAAATTTGTTTCTGTTGTCACAACAGAATGGTTTTCATCAGCCAGCTACGAGCTTTTTTCTCAGTGCGCATACAATATGATGTAAAAAATTTTTTCACCCTTCAACAATTCTACTACTCAATCCTCAATGATTAATTTCTGAATCTTCTTACTTGGGGATGTCTGTTTGAATAATATGAAAGGAAACACAAATAAGATATACGCCCCTATTTTCGGACATGTCTCTATATTCGGTCAATAATTAATATTAACAACTTAATTGTATGTAAAAACTTTTTTTTATAATTGGCTGAATTAATCGAACATCTTCAACAGAAATGTATTATTCAAATTACATTATATCAAATTTGAATCCTATATAAAAAATTAATTCAAAGTTGACCGAAAATGGGGGCGTATGCTTTATAATTTGAGTAAATAAAGTAAATGATTAGACACAATATCGCTAAACTTGTTAGCTTTCAAGTGAGGTCACATCATTTCCTAATACATGAATATTTGTTAAATGTTTTAGGCTTTTTGTAACATGTACCTTTGGACTTTTGGAACTTCCTGGTACCCAAGAATGTCATGCTGAATTAGAAAGTTCAATCTTGTGTCAGTAAACCTTTGTGAGACGTCTTTATCTGAAAAGTGTAAAGCACAGTGGCCATGTTTTCAACGCGTGAGTCGATCGTCACACGTGCGGCGTAATACCAGGGATTAACCAATGATCACCTTGAGTCGTGCACATATTAGCAGCTTTGTGCGGTCGGGATTCAAGGGTATACATAGTGAATAAGTTCCACGTGATTATGAGTGTAATTACTTCAGTATATATTAATAACAATATTGCCAAAAAATTTAACCGCGTTTACTCGTTTTATTATATATTTTTCAGTGCATTCAAAGTTTTACTGGATTTTACATTTATCGACCGATTTAAAAAAATCATCGAATCCTTTTTGCGACATAAGTAAGAATCTACTACTACGCTCTACACTCTGTAAGTTTTATGAAGATAAAAGATTGCATCAAACTTGATTGCATTTTGAATTTTAAGTGAGTCTTTATTAGAGCAACTACTAAAATTGATAGCGTCAAATTTTCAGTCATCAACGAGGCTAAAACTTTTTTCTAAAGTTACTCGGGCTGAGCTGAGATAAGTTTTAATTTAAAAAAAATACCAAGAACTTAGGAAAAATGCTAGATTGATTTAAATTCAGGGCTTTTTTGATATAATACAAAACACGTTCATTATGCCAAATAAAAAATGTTAACGTTTTACTTGATATATAATCTAATAAATGCATTTGTACTAAAGTATAATTTAAAAAATATAATTCATTAAATTTGACTTGGATTCGAAGGTGCTCACGAGCTGGCGTTTGTATGATTTATAACGTGCGAGCCTGCGAGGGAGGGAAAAGTCGAGTGTTCAATTGCAGCTCAGTGTTAGCTTAGCAGTTTGTTTTTTACACATTATGTTATGATCTACTATCTAGAAAAAATAGAAAGAACACGGAAAAAAGTAGAAAAGTGCGATTATCGCGATGAAGCGATCGAAGCCCGCTTGTAACAAAGACATTCGCTCGCTTTGAGCTGTTATGCGAACGAACTCGCGCGCGTGGCACGCGGCTTTATAAAAAGAAACGAGGTCGAGGAAGGAGCTTTACACCGCCACCACGACTAAGACCAACAAGCAAATTGTAAGTTCGCGGCCTT